GTAAGACGTTTGGTTCGGCGTGATAGAGAGAGAGAAAGAGAGAGAGAGAGAGAGAGAGAGAAATATAAATATTCTTTATCCTCGTTCTTCTACACATTGCGATTTGACTTATCCTGATTGAATTATCCCAATTTTCTTGCAAAGCAAAAAAAAAGAAAGATCGCAAAGAGTGATAATTAGGCAAGAGACTAATGAAATGACTTCCATTGTTGGTGTACAGTGCCGGTCGAGGAATTTCAATTCGCGAAGCTGCGCAAACGGCGAATAAAGAGTAACGACAGTTCGTCGACGGAGAGCAACAACGATCACAGTAACGCCGATACGTCGTCCTGCACGTCCGACACCGGCTGAATAAAAGCCGAACTGTGTAAATGAAAAAAGAAAGAGAGAAAGGAACAGAGAGAATGAGAGAATGAAAAAAAAAAATATTTTCCAAGTCGAACTTATGCACCGGCTACTTCAAAACGTTGCTTGCGAGGGGAAGGGAGAGCTAATTAATCAATTAATCGGAATCCGAGGCACCGAATAATCTCGATATCAAGGCGCGTAGACGCCACCGATATCATGCCTACACATAAACATACCATATCTCGATGTCATTGTTAAGTTGCGAACATGTGAACGTCGATGTTGTGCAAAATAAATTCTTTGGTACTTGAGTGGTGTTCATCAATTCCATACTGGCGAGTGCGAGCGACAATGCGATAAAGCAAAGAAAGAGAGGGGGGGGGGAGGGTGAGGGTGAGGGAGAGAGTACAACGTCTTCGCGAACCCCCGGGAGCTCTAATTCGCAAGTCACGTTGCGTCGAATCGGGAATCGCCGGCGGACCACCATCTGGGGCGTTTCATTAGCGAGGACGCAACAGTCGCCGTCGTGGAAATATTTCACTCGTCCGACCCGGTGAAGGTAGTGTTGAGATTAATGTGAATGCTTTTCACGGCTATGTCCGCGCGCGCACGGCGCGAGCTTGCTATACTTAGCCGAGCGGTCGCGTATTCCTGAGAAAAATTCACGTAATCTTTTTTTTTGTCACGTTAATTCAGGAAAAAGACATCGGAAGTATCCGTTGCATGTGTCTAACGCGACAAGGTACAGTGAGCGACGTCGACATCATCGTCGCGCGTTTCAAATTCAATCGAATACACTGATGCACGTTAAAATATCATACACAAAATTATGTGAAAACATGTGCACGCAAGCAGATTGAATCCACAAGATGTTCAGTAAAATTTATCATTTTAGTAGGATTGTTTTTAATAAAATACGTATTAGGCATTTCAAAGCTATTTTATGTTGTTTGCACAATTAGATGAATTTGCACAATAAAATGAGAAAATCGATACTATCGGACTATTTTTTATTTGAGAATCAGAATCAGAGATTAGTTGCCTTGAAATCTAAAATATTTTGTCTAAAGTAGTTTTTATAAAAGCTTAAAAATAATAATTCTTCTAGTGAAACAATATAATCGCGTTGTAATCGTAAGTATTTACAGATTAACGAAATCAGAAAGCTGTTGGATCGCGGTTGCCGATTGCGAATGTTAATTTTCCTTTCGCGATTTGTTATCGTCCCGTGTAAAATATTGTTAGGAATCGATTCTTGCTCTGCTTTCTACCATCGACGGTTCCTTCTGTACACAGACCGTCACACACGTGTATACATACACGCGTGCGGAGTGCGACGCTCCCCGTGCTCTCGCGGAGAAGGCGCCAGCCGTCGCGATGCCAGAAACCAGCTGCGCCTCAGCTGTTTTCTATCCATTTCGACTTGCTGCCTTTCTCTCTCAGCGACGCGATTGGATGCTGGGAAATAAAATCCTAGATAATCGCAACACGTGCGTTTTCGCGCTACGCAGAATTCATTTTGACAATTTACGTATAATTGAACTCTGACATTTTTATGCGTGCGCACAGCATTGTAAATGCACATTGCTTTTATAGACATGTGAGGAGGTTTTCGTATCATTCCAATTTGTATTATGATTATGGAAAATATTTTTTGCTGTTTTTACATCTCGTCGAATTGTGTAGACTGTGCCACTTTTAAAATTATCTATCTGATGAATGACTTTACCTGAAATTCTTTTGTCTTCGTTAAGTTACGCACAAATAAGTTCTATTGTACAACTGTAACGAATGAGGTGCAAAATATTCGAGATATTTCGCGTAGAGTTTATCGCACGCTCTATTAGACTATTTTCTCCGTCGAAAACCCGTCCGAATTGCTTGCGCAATTCATTTGTGCAGGCCGCTATTACGAAAATCGCACATGCGTGCTAACGCACCCGAGAAGAATGCATTTCGGGTAAAGGAGGGCGGAGACGGAGGAGCGGCGGCCGCGGCTAACTGCACTTCCGATAAAACGCGGAAACAGCTGTTTAATCTTATCCGGTCCACCTGCGCCCACGCGCTTGATATTTACTTTCATTCTAGCACGTCGCATACAGCACGCGCCTCTGGAACACACGTCTTTTGTTGACACAAGCATAACAAAGCTTGTTTCCATCCATGTGGCGCATGTGTGCCACCACGAAATAACTTTGGATTCGGTGCAAATTTGACAAGCGTATAGCATATTCATTATTTTTTCAATGGTTGACACAACAAAATTAAAAAAAAATTGTTTATCGTTAAAACTGATCGCAAGAGGATATTAAGATTGTATTATTTCTTCAATTATTGATAAAAGAGAATTTTTTGGATTATCGACAAAAGCGATATGCACAGGCTTAAAAAAAAATGTATAGGCGGAGCGAAGAGAATATTTTGTATGACTTTCTAATTTGTTAATACAAGTCTTTGAAATTGTTCAGAATTAATTATAATACTTGAAGAATAATTTGCAATGGAGAAAAGTGTGTCGCTGCAGATTGCGCCGAGAGTTCGATAGGAACGGAAAGACGTAAGAAAACCGCGAACAGCAAAGTCTTTAAAAAGCTGATGGTGTTTTTGAAGGCCGCGATATTCTTGTTCCCTTTTACGCAGTATACTTGCTCGGTATACGTCTAGTTGACGCGAGCACAACGGCGACCGATGCAAAGTAATACAAAAGCATGCTCGGAGCACACCCACTAACTCGTCGGAGAGTGTCACCGGCAGCACTTCGGATTGAACTTTTCCAAGAGCGGCTCGGCTGGGCTGAAGAAAATGCACGGGAAGAGAAGACGGCGACCGGAAGAAGCGGCACTCGGTGGAGCAAAGCTCCCGGGAACGATTAAAATCTCGCCCATGGTGCTTTCTGTAAGATAACAGAAGGTAAGTGCATGCTTCGTGGCATAATTCTGATATAATAATACGACAACACCTTGGAAAGTAAAGGCACGGGCTAATAAAAATGATGAATTAAGAATATAATTGTTAAAAGCTCAAGTAGAACACACACCCTTAACATTCTATTCTGTCTGTAATCCATACTTGTCGAGAGCGTTTGTTTAGCTTCGGCACAAATTTTCGTACACGATGTCATGGAACTCTCACCTGCTTGTGCACGTAATCGCGGGAGATCTGTCAGTTGGTGTGCGGGCTATGAATATACATATTACACGGGCGCGCTTTACAGCTCCACTGATTTATTATATGCATTATTTCTATTATATTTTGCACAATTCTTTCCTATATCATTTGTAAATCACTAATATTACATTTGCGTGCTCGGAAAATCTCGGCTTTCATCAGCGGAAGGTAAAGGGCTCTACCATCGCTCTTGTTTTCTTCTCGGCTGACGCTTTTTTTCCCGGGCATGCACGGGCGACAGAGCGGCGAGAGCTTTGTAAAATCGGCGGATGCGGCGGCCTCTCCCTTGCCGGAAGAGTGACTTCGTGCTATTGACATCCGCTTCTCGTGGTATCGACATCCCGGTACATGCCCGCCCGCGCCGGGAGCACGATCTCGCGTCACTTCCAGAGAGCGAGAGTGCGCGCGAGAGAGGCAGAGAACTTGCAAAGAGAGGAAGAGAGAGAGAGAGAGAGAGAGAGAGAGAGAGAGAGAGAGAGAGAGAGAGAGAGAGAGAGAGAGAGAGAGAGAGAGAGAGAGAGAGAGAGAGAGGATGTGGGGCGCGAGAGAGGGTGTACGGGGTACACTGGCACGTTGGGACATTCACTGGCCCTGCGTCGGTGTAATTTTGCACGAGTGCGAAAATTACACCGTGCCGCGGCACCGATAAGTCGTAAATTACGTGCACGTAGGTGGATGATCGTGTAAAACGCGACCGCGGTTGGCCCTGCGATTGACGCCATCACCACGCTTAAACTTACGACCGTACGTCGAATAAATCGGAATTAACGTTTAATCATGTACGTCGGTTCGATACGCGCCGCTGGAGTTGATAATTGGGTCTCGAAATTCCCGATCACGGATCTGGCAGAATCGGCTCGTCTTCGATGCCGCGCGTTTAACAACGTTATGCGATTATTTCTTTGCGCATATTCTGTCTCCGTTCAATCAGCGTATTTTTCGTAAAATATAAAAACTTTTCTCCACTTTTCTTTATACATCTCTTTTATTTTCTTATAATTCGAACTCTTCTTCCATGCATCGTTCGGATTTAAACTTGGAAAATATATACTACATACGTATGATAAATTTCAAGTTGCATTTAACGATTATCCATACGACATGTAGTGTAAAATATATCTCAGATATCTCAGATACTAAAACAATTATAAGATTGTATAACATGTTTTTTCAAGTTTTTTCATGAAAGTTGTAGAATTTTGATAACAATTGCTTAAATCACTTTTGTTAGACTTTGCTTTATCGACAAATCATGTCGGGTATAATTTATTCGACGGAATTTTAATATCGATCTCTGCTTAAAACGCACGCCCATTAGTCTGGTAGAAAATATTGGGATGTAATTAAAGGACTTTCGAGAACTTCATCTATAGAGTTTGAGAAAGTGTCAATTCACGTCAGTGCCATTTGACATAGGATTTCTTTTACTTTAGCTTAATATCCCCCTAATACATGCAGGCAGGGACAAAATTGCTAAAATCGATCAGATTTTTATGAAAAAATATTTAAAACTATTAATGTAAGTGACAAGTGACGAATTATTCCTGAAAGTTTTATACCACCAAATTTCTCGAAACTGTGCGTCAACGGGAAAATTGATTGAGCTCATCGTTACAGTTTACCGAAGCTATGGTCGGCGCAAACTTGATGATCACGCGTGGAGAATTACGCGATAAAGACTCGGCCGTATGTAACGTCTGTATCATGCCGAACGATTTGCTATTCGCACGGCTCCAGTCGACGGCCGTTGGCGGAAACTTAGATTGCTTCGCCGACTAATTCCTATCCGCGTTAATTCGACGTCGAAACTCGCGGCGCGTCATACCTGAAGCAGCTCGATAAATTACTCGCCGTCCATCCAATTACCGGTGACGGGCCTTACAGCCCCGCTTGCTTCGTCATTCACGGTGACTACGGTGCGAACTTGATTCGTGTTGCCTGTTTTATCGCCTCTGTGTAACCGCGATGAACGTTTAAGAGGGCAACCCAGTTTTGAATTACAGAGTACATTATTCGACTTTCAGCATTTTAAGTATTTTCCAAAGTGTTTAATTTTTTCCACAAAATGTGCACTCAGATGAGCTTATTACAAATCAGTTATTAAGGATGTATTGACTACTAAAACGTCAAGTAAATAAATTACGCACAGAGTTATAATATTAAAAATTAACACGAGTTTTAACATTTTTATTGAAGAACATATTGGTAATTAAAATTCTTTATATTAATTTCTGTATATGAAATATTTCACTTATTAACATGCGCACTTTCGAATAAGCCACACCAACGATTCAATATTTATTACTGGTTCGACACGATAGAGAAAGTGAAGAATTGCAACACGTTAACTTTATTCGGAGTTATACGGAATATCGCGTCCGCGATTTTTAACGTGATATGTTGCTTGTCCATTTTCACGGTTCACTGGCGAGCGTTTTATCGCCAGCGATGGCCAACGGCCTGCACGTGAGGTGTAGGGTATCGTTTCGTGGTCCATAAGACGTTCGAATTATAGTGAGACCGCGAAGAGACTAATAAGGTGCTTGTTAGACGCGACGAACAACATAAGCAATTAAACAAGCACCGTTAGAATCGCGAAATGTGACCATAAAAGGCAATGCATTTCGTTCGGACTCTTTTGTGAAACTTTGACGTATTTTTTCAATGTATTCGGACGAAATCATGATTTTATTTAGCGCAATCTTTAACAGTTAGCAATGTTTCTTTTTTGTCAAATTTGTCAATGAGTTTTACATAATATTTCATATATTCAATGTAAGCATAAAAGTTAAATATAAAATATAAACTTTTAAACTGATCAGAGAAAATGTTTCAGTTTCGCGCAGATATTCGGAATAAATAATAAAGCGATATACGAAATTTTTACAATTTTGTCAATATTTTGATGTACAATCCATTCATCCTTAATAAAGCTAAAGTATAAAGAAAGCTCAATGTAGCACCTGATCGCGTGCAACCAGATCCTGGAATCTCGCGTTAGCGCGTGTATGCACGAGTGTGTACGTGGTGATGACAGGGTGGCGTGACGGAGTGCTAATAATACGTATAATAGGTCGACGACGTGGTGTGTGCGTGCGAATTCGTGCGATAAAGGGACGTGTGCGCATCCACACCGGCCGTAATCACAGCATCCATACAAGTATACGTCACTCCGAGTAACAAAATACCAATGTACGCACGTGCCTTTATATTTCGAGATGTTACATTACAAATATATAAGCGTCGCGCCATGAGCAAATGGAAATATTTTTTTTTTTTTTACTGATATCTATATAATATTCTAGATTTTTAATTAGTTTTTTCGCTCTCAAACATTGCAAAAGTGTATCGGTTATCAGGTTCTCAATAAAGCGTTATATTATTTGACGTACGAAATTAAATATAAAAAATATTTTTTTATAGGTAGAAAATTCGTGTACAGAATTTCCACATATAAAAATTGATTGGTAAAAGATTTAACTGTTTCAATCGCTTAAATTAAACAAAAATTATCCAGTCATTATTTCTGAATCCTCAGCACAATCTTCAATATTTACAGTACACTGTTTATAAAAAAAAAATCAACGCATTCTAATAAAATCATTGTAAATTTGTGAAATTTCATTTTAGAAGATTCTAGTCTGTAAAATTTAAGATATAACAAGATAATTTATATTTCTCCGATAAATGCTTCTGTTATCTTATTTTACAATTTGCGAATTATGCGAATTATTTGCGCGATACGTCGGATGAATGATGAGCTTTGTGAATTCCGCGTAGACCGATCGATGCTGAACGTCGAAACGGGTTGGGTGGTCGGTGACATGTCTTCCACGTCCTCCACGAAGACAGCCGGCGCAATTGTGGGTCGACGAGCATTCCTCGTCAGTGTCCGAGTTCGGAAATCGGTCATGGGTCGATGCTCTCGCGGACATGACGATTCGCTCGAAATCGAGAAGATCGATCCCATTTAATAGAAAGAAATCGAGAAATGTTATCCGCATTCTCATGACTCTCGGGCGTTATCTCAATATTCGGAACAAACGTTGAAATGCATGTGTAACTCTAAAGAATATTGTCAAATCTTGATTTAGCAATCTAAACATCAAAGAATCGCGTTGAGATCTAGAATGTGAATAATGAAACAATATTCTTACGGTTCTGCCAATGTTTCAACGTGTAATCCATGCGTGAATTTGATAAACATCTTTTTTGCGGTATTTGGTAATTTACATACGTGGATTTTTATGGTCGTGCGGAGGCTGTCATCGCGATTTCGCGCACGGAAGTGATCGATGTCGTGCGTCGCTAAAAGCGGAGCGGTAAAGGAGCGGCGTAGGATTCAAAGTGCCGAGGTGAGGTGAGACTGCACCCCTGGTGTTGGTGAACGGTGCGAAGTACGGGAGGCCAAGCTATTTCTCAGCTTCAGCGGCAGAGCCTTTCTTCGCGGGAATATATCGACACGTCACGAGCACACTGGCCCGTTTACAATATCGCGTATAGGAACGTGCGCGCGCTTACATTTTGGCCGTCTCGCACCTTATCGGGCAAGAAACATCGCTCCGCAATGATTCCGCATCGATCGCGATCCTTTTAGATCGTTTCAAGAAACAAGATAAGCCAAAAGTGCCTGAAAATTAATTTTAAATATAACACAGTTAATGATAAATAATGCATAGCGATCAGAAAAGGGTAAAACTTTTTGATTATAATAATTGCAAAACGATCGAGTGACAGACATACGATATTGATTTGTGGAGTGCACTATATTGATTCCACGTTGATTCATGAAGAAACAATCATATTTGTTTTTATGCGCTACTACCATAATATATTACATTTTATCAGTGTCATTCTTTTCTTGTCCAATACAACAAAAAAGCAACAGATTTAAACATACAATTAAAAACTACAAGATAACGCGCGCGAGTGACAATTTCTTATTTCTCAAGTATTACCGGCAATCTTGGAACCGTCTTTCTTCTTTCTACATTATCAAAAGCTGCTGGATCGTTTCAATCACGTAATCCGCAAAACCTACATCGCGTGAAAAGAGTGTTCCGTTTCTACATGGGGGCGTAATCGACCTGAAATAACTCCGCCAGGTGCTTCGCAAATTGTTTCTATCAGCGTACAGTCTCCGGGGGGATCATCGGCGATGCCGAAGACCACGCCTGGAGGTATCAAGAAGCATCGCAGGTTAAGGCCGGCCGGAGGTTGCGTGGTGGAGGTTAGCAAACCACCACCGCTTCTCCTCTTCGCCTCCTCCGCCACCGGCTGGCAGCCTGCCTGGCTCGCGTCGTCCTTTCGGTTCTCCAGCGAGACTCTCAGTTGGCCGCCGACTGCCGTCCGGGCATCGCGTTCGTTTGCGTCACTCTGCGTTTGCGTTGCTGTTTTGGAATTCGCTCTGTCAGAATACCATCGTGCGTTATCATTTCGGTATTAACATTTCGAGAGAAAGAGCTTTCCGTTTATCTTGAAAATGCTCGGTTCAAATGCGTTATTTTCTTCCGATCTTGTCTAAAAATTTTGTTTCCATCTTTACAGGTTTCAAAGTTTCATCTTGTTTTCATACGTTTCGAAATTTTGTCTTTGCTTTTGCGCGTTTTTCGAGATTTTCTTTTTATTTAAAAAAAAGTTACGCAAAGTCGTCGATTCGCCTTTCTTAACTTACACGCGACTGCTTATCTCTCGACCGGCGCGGAAAATCGGACCACGAGAAGAGTGCATTTCCGCATGATGAAGCGCATCGTCGACGTTCGCTCGCGAGAGCACCTACGGCGCTTGTGAAAGCCCGCAATCGCGAAACTGTGACTGATTGACAGCCCGCTGCCTTCTCTGGATTTTTTTGCGGTTTAATCTGACACACTGCGTGAACATCGATCAGGCAGGAGGTGAGAATCTGCACAGTTATCTGCTAATTTTTTCAGCATTTTCGATGATTGTCGCAGCGGATGTCTTTTAAAATGAAAAATTATGCGCTACCAATATTTACGGATTTAAAAACATCTCTTACCAAATGAATAAACTGTAAGTAAATTAATATTTGTCCTATGTAGAACTAAGAGATTATAGATTATAAAAAATATGAAATCATTTGATTGTGGAGAAGTTTTTGAAGAAGAAAAACGACGTGTGATTTTCAGAATATGTGAGCTTGAATATCGAAATAATGAAAAGAAAGATACATATAATCATACATGACCATATGTCTGTAAAGTTCGCGTTGCAAAGCTAAGAGCCTCGTAACGTTGGGAACGTGATAACTAGGAAATCGCGTGCCACGCAAAATTACTGTCATTTCAACTGTCACTGTAACGTTGCAAACTGCAATTTTTATCAAAAAAAGTTTCACGTGTACGATTTCATTGCATCGATCAATCTATTGGAAATACCATACCTTGACCTTTTTAGCCGCATTTCTTATTGATTTAATATGTAGAGCTACAACACAACTGCATTGTTTTTTGCACATTATATGTATTACACAACATTCGTAAATTCTCTCATGTTAATTTTGTCAGAATTAAAATTAATAAATTTGTTTCGTCATAAGCAATATAGAAATGTTTTGGTGGTTTATAAATATTCTTAAATATATATTTAAATATTACAAATATAAAAAAGTCTATTTGAATTCAGATGAAACGTGTTGAATTAGTCGATCTGTAATGTCAATTTATAATATTTGAAGAAAATAAGAGCAAAAACAGTCATATATTGCAACAGAAAATAAACAGCTCTTTTTGTTTTCACCTAATTTGACGCAGGTGTTAATGTTACGTTGTCAATATTAATGTTTCTCATATTGTACATTTATCAAATTTATTTGTGAAATATTTAAAAGAAAAAGTTAGAATCAAGATTTTAATGATATTTTTAATGCAAACGGAATGTGTAATGTCTGCAAGGACGTCTTTCGTCTATAAAAACATTAAATAGATACTTATTTATTAAACAATGTAAAATGAATTTGAATTGCTTGAAATTTTCGAGCACTAAATGAAGCAATATTTGATTATTTTTCTCCAAATATTCTTGAGAACTGTTCGAATTTATCTCGCGCATGTATTTGTAATACACACTCGTGTCTCAATCTTGCCACGAATTCATATTGTAAAACAATGAAATGTTACTTGAAAAAGAGATTTTAATCTGAAAGAGTTAATATGAATAGTTGAAGTAAACGATAAGATTGCTGAAATGGAAGAACGTCCGAGAGATCATCGCATGATTTTGACAGATGTTGATAAATCTTTACGAAACATTTCCGTTGATATGAATTAAATGGAACGATCCGTGAAAAGTGATCGCAATATCCACCAACTATCGCGTTGAGATCGCTGAAAGAATTTATCGCGCCAAACAGCGGAGAATCAAGCTATCGAAGCGCAAAGAGTACGTATGTAATGCGGGAGTAGAGAGGGTGGGATGGGATGAATCGCCGTGGGGCAAAGACTACCAGAGGGAACTTGGAGTTTTCTTCGACGGGGTGCACGGAGATAAGGACCGAACAGCGCGACGAAAACCCCTGTCAGGTGCACCCTTTCGCACGGTGTTCGCCAATAATCGGTTCCCCGACGGCGTATAGCGTACGTCACGATTAACCATGGTGGAAGCGTGCTACGAATTCGTACTCACCGCGCACTTCCGCGATGTCGCGCGCGCGGAACGCGAATTGCCGATCTGTGCGCTCTCATCCCCCGCATACTTTACCGCCGCTTTCTCCCGATGCATAATAATAGTAATAATATCGAGTTGTAGTGCAATTGTTTATAATCACCTCGGTCAGAAATTAAAAAGTTTCTCAAGCTATCGAGTGACCGCGACACTTGATAGCATTTTCATCGATGCATATATTTTTTAATAATCAAATCGACATCCATTCCGGGAGCACTTTTAAATATCATGTTCCGCAAATCGCGGAAACCGAAAGAAAAGAATGGCCGATGCTTTACAGTCGTATCGACGAGCTCGTTAAACAAGCCCTTGAGTGCTTGTTTATGAGATGCCCCTTGCCGTGCCCGCCGACATCCCGATGAAAATACCGCGTATTCCACGCTCGTGAGTACACGCGCGCGGGAAGGAACGTACGCGCGTGCACGTACGCCGTCAGTGCGGCGTGTTATACCGAAGTATTATATCGATTAACTGTTGGCAACAGAAGAGAGAGGCGGAGGAAAGCTTGTCAGGGTCTGCGGCGTGGCTTTGGCTTTCCTATATTATTAATCTTTCTCTTTCTGCCTCCCTTCCGCTTCCTCGCGCTCCCGTTCTGTCTCTCGCTCTCCCGACGGCCCACCCCTGGTGGTTGCCTTCCGCTTTTGCCCCTCGTTTCGCCCCTCGGCCATCCTCCCGCCCCCGTCGGCGAGCTCTGTCTGCCCAGCGAGCTCTGTCTGCTGCTCCGCTCCGACCTGCCATATACGCGTCCGTCGAGTCAGTCAGGTGTTGCGGGCAGCTTCCGCGCTTCAAAGAGAATCAAGAGTTACGGCCGGGGAGAGAGACTCGACCTCTCTGCTCGCTCTTCCGCGGTTCCTTCTCTCACCGGTACACCTTCCCCGGTTTCTCGTCGGTCCCTACGTTTGCGTTGCGTTGCGTTACGTTACGTTGCCGTATCATAGCGATACCGTCGGCGGAAGTCCTCCTTTTTCGAGGACGCGTAATTAATGCAAACTTGCGGTGGCACTTAAATTACATTAACTGATGATGTTTGCGTAGGAAAGCTTTGGGCTGTCCTATGGATTAAAACAGAGTTCGTTGCGAATGTCCGAAAATCCTACGGAGAAATGAGGTAGAGAAGAGTTACGTAGTAATTGCATTTTGTTTTTATGCTGGTGCAAAATTAAAATGCATAATGTGAGATAGATTTCGATAATAAAAATAGAATTTTTGACTTAAGAAATATATAATGTGAAAATAACACGAAACATCATTCGCCGTAACTCTTCATTTTGCGAGATAATTTTATGCTTCTTTACTTTTTCCGATCGCATAACGTTGCTACACTTTTCACATATTTCATTGTTTCTTTTACCGGGAGAGAACTGACGGCCGAAAAGTCGTGTTGACATTGCTAGCTACATAATTCGAGGAGAATTGTGGCTATCGAAACTTTTATCGGCGATAATCCACAGACGATTGAATTGCACGTGTCGTCGAAGTCGCTCGGTGGATGCGCAACGGTGAAATAGATTCATACCTTACTGGGCTATAGAAATGCCGGCAATTGTGTATCGGTATGTGTGTTGTGTGTTGTTGCTAGCCATTCGCGCATCTAAACGTTTAACGGCCCCAGCGTAGTTAACCACGTGTCCGACAATTTTCGCTGACGCTGACGAACCGGCCGCACTATCGGCGCACCTGCGAACGCCATCCGATATTTTCATGGATATATTAAGTGTCGATCGATCGATTGTTGTTACGTCAGTCATCTGGACGGATACAGCTTAGAGAAAGTAATCGTGATATTCTGAATGTTACAAAATGTATTTTATAATCATGGAATTAATTAAATTTCCGACTATAGAATATATATTTGAAAAAAGAAAAGCAATTAAGTATTTTAAATTGCATACTTTACAAGCAAAATGAGATTGAAAACTTAAACGACAAAATTTGTGTGTGACGTTAAATATAAATAAAACAATCACGAAGCCGCAAATTCACACATTTATGATAATTCTATAACATAACTATGATGACAATTAAACCGACATTGCTTGAAATTTGGGCTTAATTATCAGCGAGATGTGACATACAATTATATACGTTCTGCAATTTGATGATTATTATTGCTAGTATTGAATGTCAGACTGTAAGTGACTAAAATATTAATTTACTTCATAAAGAAAGATGCTGGAATATTTTTTCAGCATAGATTGTAATTGTTTTAATATATTTAATTTCTGTACTCGCGCTTGTAATCGCATCAACATTAATCATAGATCGCAGATTAGTATGTTATTCATAGTGTGTTATTCATAGGACAGCCTATGTAAGAGATAAAATTGTGTAGACGCAGGGTGACGAACGTTGATGGACCAGCGCGGTAATTAATTATCCGTGCATGCGATGACGACGCCCTCGATTATCTTCTCGTTAGTCCTTCGTGGAAAAAGTTTGCGCATTTAACGCGTTTGCGTCTCGCTAGCCCGATACGCGCGGTAAAATGGGACAAATCGTTTTGTTTAATTGAAAACGCAGATTTTTTTTGCACCGAAATGAGGTGGGCGCAGGTCGGACTCTTGGGAACGTTACGGATATATTTTCGATGGCGAAAAAAATATCGCTCGCCCGGGATTATCGCCCGGAACATTGGCAGTCTGTGTCATGCGTGAATAAAAGAGTTAATTGCAAATATCGGAGCAATATTCGGTGCCGCGAAATTCGTTTCCGTTTTAGCATTCCATAATTTCCCCGGCGCACCCCGGCCGTTCCGGTTTAACGCCAAGTGTGTATACAACGTGGCCGGGACGTCAAAAGCGGGTATAACTGCGACGTACCTGCGCATGACATCTTTGTAATGAAACCAAGCAGAACCTTCGCGAAGTAAAGCTTCGATACCATTAACGATGTAACGGTTTCACATCGGCTCCAAAGAGCCAAGTATTTACGTTTCGTTCTCTCTCTCTCTCTCTCTCTCTCTCTCTCTCTCTCTCTTTCTCTCTGCTTGTTACAAACTTTATAATATACGACGCCGGTCAGCCATTTGCATTCTTTCACGAATAAAAATAGAAATGGAAGATTGTAGCAAGCTCTGTACAAAATACCTGCGCCGAACGATCTAAATAATTTATATTGATTATTATTGCAAACTAATCAGGTGTGAATCTGAGGCGTGTTTAAGTGAATACTCGCGACGCGAGTGAATAATCGAACGTCATCCAACGAGCGACTA